TGAAGCGGGGGAGCGAGGGGTGGGTTGGGTGGGTATTTGGGCATCCCACCACGGTGCCATTGCTCTTCCCCACGTGGCATTGCTGTGCTGGGGCTGAGGCTGCTGCATCCCGGGGGGAATCCCTCCTCTGTGCAAAGAAATCAGCAAACACAACCTGAAGCCCTCAATAGGTGATGAACGGTGAGAGCCACTGTTATGCAAGCACTGTCCTGGATAGGATAATGCTTCCAATAACAATTTAAAGTTGACCTGAATTAAAAGCTTCCAATAAAAAGCTCTCAGAGATTCCCTAACTGCGCAACTTGCATGTATGCAAAATATAGATGGTCGCTTATGGTATTGGTGTGCCAAGGGCTGGAAACTGGCCATGGCCTCACTGCTTTCTTGGCATGGGTCAGTTAGCCTGGAAAACCAGGCGTACCACCACCACTGACAGGCACCATGATGCTGGGGTGCTGGTTACAGTGGCAGGGCAGCAATCCCAATCTTTCCAGGATTCCCTTTGCAGCCAGATTAACGTGTGTTGTTCTGGGGTTTTTTTAACTATCATTATAAAGCAAGATGTTTGTTGTTTCCTCCCCTGTTTGTATTTCAGTGGCCAAATATATTTTTCTCCCAGAGAAAGCTGGGAATCCAGGAACCTGAAGGCAGCAGTTTGAAGTATTAATGGTACCACAGTGGGAATGGGGAGTCCCTTGAACTCGGCTATTAGCAAATTAATAAAAAGGGGTAACGTGCTCTCCTGAGTGTTACAAATTTAGCACTAATTAGGACTTCTCTCAGCTATTTTAGGCAAGAAAATCTTCAATATCCTTTGTTAAATTTGAATCATCGTGTTTGTAGAAGTAAATCATACAGGAACGTTGGTTTCTTCACCCAGCTACAGTCTTCTGAATTTTTTTCACTCTCTTTTTCTTTCTGATATGACATAGAGATAGATATTTTGTATGCAGTTAGTTTTACTTAGCAAATCTTCCCCCAAAAGAGTGGGTTTTTTGAATGAGACCAACCTACAAAACATTCATTTCTCTCAGTCCATCCCAAACATTTCAAAGATCCCCTCTTCATGGGAGCATCAGTGCTCCAGTTTATTCACGTTTATTTTATTTACTTATTGCTTATATATGTTAAACCTCATAGGGTTATTGTAACTTGTAAACCATATTTTCCTGTCAAATATCTACACAGTTTTGTGTATTTTAGCACTTTGGAATTAATCATGAGAGAAACTTAATCAGGTTTGCAATGAAAAAAAAGCCCTTAATTAGAGCAGAGGCCAAAATGTCCTCCTGCTCTTCCTTTCTTCTTGCACAGCACAAATCTTATCTAAGCCTTGCCTGAAGTCCAGAAAACAAATCTCACAGTTGATTGAATGTATCTAATTGTGAATTGTTGTCTACCCTTTTGCAGATATGTTTCAAACTCTGCCTGGTGGCTGTGTTGGCTAATTTGCCTATACCCAGGAAATTAATTCTTTCTTAACTACAGAGCAAAGCTATGATGTTGGGCGATATACGTCTGCCTTTCGGGAAAGAATATTACTTCTCTCTAGGAAAATCAATGCATTGCTAAATGACTGATGTAACCAGAAAAGGTTTTAGCTTTTAATGTTGAAGAAAACACTGGCAGGGAAGAGAAAGCACCATAGTTTGTATGAGAGCCAGTCTGGCAGAGGCAGAAGAAACTCACTTCAATTCCAGAAAAGCCATAGCTTATTTGGGCAATAAAGGGAAAATTGAGATAGAAGGTTACATCTTCTGATGACACTAGAAGAACATGTTAGAAGTAATTGGTGGTGAGCTCATGGTTTAAAACACACTTGCACAGATGTACAGCAGTGGAGAGACTCCAAGCAGACAGGTTATGAAAAGACACCATAAAGCCTGACAAATACTGGACACTGTCAAGGTGACTTTCCATAAAATAATGTAAATCAGTTTTAAAATCTAGACTTTATGATCAGTTAGAAAGGGTAGTTCTGCAGTAGTATTAATAACCTCTGAAAGAAATGTAGCATGAAAAGGAGGTTTCCACGACCAGAGCTCAGCTCAGAAGACTTTGTTTCACGTCTATGAATAAAATCAAATCTTTGCAAAGGTGAAACTAAAGGCATCAGCCATTTCCCTATCTAGAGAAACTGGAGGGAGACTTTTCCTCATTCTCCTGTGAATGGAAACACAGGATACAGTCATTTCTGTTTGCTTCTGTTAAACAGCTGATCAGAGAGAGTATTTTGCACTGGATGGGGCTAAAGAAAGTTTTTTTTTTTTTTACTTTTCTCTACTGCATGAGATATGACGTGAATAGTGTATGCTGAGGTGACACTGTAACATCCTGTCAGCTTCAGGGCGCTAAATGCTAACGACGAGTGAGTCCTTTCTTCCCTCCATGTGGGCTGTAGCTGCAGGAATGAGATGTGTGAGCATGTACACTGAGCAGCAAGTAGATAAATTCCAGATGATGATTTGAAGCTGGTGAATATAAACCTTACAGTCTTGCAAGCAGTCTGCTACTGGAAAGGACCTTTAAGGTCAATTCATTTCCCTTCTGTCGTAGGCAGCCCTCTGAAAGAAACTGCATGATAAAGTGAACCAGCTTCAGCACAAAATACATTTTTTGCCACCATTTCTCCTACTGTAGTGGTGCAGGAGGAGGAATCCTACTGCAGCTCCTTGGAAATGTAAAAATCTTCCTATCCCCAGCCTTAATATACTCTTATCCAGTTTATTCACATCATTTTTTCTGCCAAAATTGTCCTCTGCTTAAATAGTGCTTCTCCCTTCTGTGTGCTTATCCATGATTTATTTATAGGGAGCTCTCTCTCAGCATTCATTGCATGAGATAAAACAAGCCATCCTTTTTTAGTCTCCTTTCATATAACAGGCTTGCCACGATGTGAATCACCCTTGCAGCCTGTCCCTTTACCTGCTGCAGTCTGAGCATGGGGAGCAGAACCAGCAACAGCAGCTATATATTGTCTTTCCAGGGACTTTTGCCATGCCATTAACACTCCCTTACTTTTTTTACTGCTATATTGTACATTCACACTGCCTATACATAGAACTGTTGTAGCATATAAATTATGTTATAGAGTTAACCATCAAATACTGGTGTGTCATCTCGTCTGGTATCACTTCTGCTCCTTGGGAGCCTGGTCAGCATCTTGCAGGCAAAATCCTTTGGTGCTTTTCATCTGGTGCTTGTTTACCCTTGATAGCTCCTGCAGAGTATTTCAGCATGAAGATGTTTCAGCAGTCGTTACTAAAGCAAGTGAATAATTCAAAGAAAAAGCACAATCTATCCATCTTCTTTAGTGTCACAAATTAATAGCTGCTCAGGATTCTTTGAAATCTATAGCTGCTTAAGGGAAGAAAAATAACCAACCCCTTTCTATAGGGCTGTGCCATCACTATATTTTGTGTACTCTGCCTGTGCAAGGAAGCTTTATTAAATAAATGAGGTGAGGGCAATATGCAAAGGCCTCTGATGTGAGACTTTAAAGAAGGGGAAAAGACCAGTTATGCTAATCCAGGATAAGAAGGAAACTGAAAACCGATTAGTAGACAAAATTATTTCTTATTATTGGAAACCATTTCTCATTCCAGAAGCCAGTGGTCAGAGCCTGGCTGATTTCAGTAGCTGCACTTCTGCCTTCTGCTGCCCCTGCAAGCAAGCAGTGTTGGGGCAACCACAATTTCCTCTACTGGATGGACCTGGAACAGCCTTTTACCTCTTGCTTCTGGTTCGGATTATTTCACTGAAGACTGTGCAAAATGAGGGACCGGGTAGTGTTGTCTTTGTGGGCTGCTCAGGCTGGGTCTGTGCTCATTCCTCAGGTCACAAGCTGCTAGAGCAGGGTCGTTGCTCCCTATGGTGGAGCAACTTGACCCTGCAATTTGCAAGGTCTGGTTCTCCCTGTCAGAGCACCATGGGTCAGATCCTGACCTGCATTTCCAGACATAAGTATGCACTTCCAAGCCTGCCCACAGCTGCTGACCCAAAAGTGGGTTTTCTCCTCTTGCCCCCATTCCTCCCTCCCATCTCACCTCCCTGCCCAGGGCATAGTGGGTGCCAGTGGCATTTGCTGTTGAACATATGGCTCTGCCTGTGCCCCGAGCAGGACAGCAATGCTGCATCCTGAGGGAGGTCTCTTCCAGAGAGGGAGGTCTGTGCCTAAGTGTAATGGAACCTGATGGAGGCTAATTAAATAGAAAACCATCCATTTGTGCTATCTCTTTAGGGATTTGTCATAAAAACCTTATGTTCCCTTACAAGCCTAAACAAGTGTGTTCACCATGTAAAAATCAGCCATAAAGCTGTCTAGAGAGTAGTTAACATGCCTAAGCTGTCACTTACACAGGCTGTCTGCAGCCTGGATCCTGCAGGTAGAAATGGCTTTTCCCTTGTCCTCAAAGCACCCTGCATAAATGGGGCATCCTCCTTCAAAATTTGGAAAGGGGGCCAAGCTCAGGGATCCTGCACCGACCAGCACGTGGAGCGGATGCTTCTCCGTCTGGCCCTGACAGGAGCCAGAAATCAGAGGCAAAGAGCACTTGTTATTTTAGAGCTGTGCCAAAGGTGTTCAGAGGTTTAGAAAGTGTAAATTCAGTAGCAGTGTTTCCTGAGGTCTATGGAGATTGCCTCTCCTCTGCCTTTGCGAGTGGCCTGGTTGCCTCCTCAACCCCAATCAGGCTCCTGGGTTTGAGGAAAACTAAACTCCCTGCAGGGCTTGGGAGTCTTTTGCAATGGAAGGTTATGGGCTGTGTCCCTTTGGCTCCCCCAGGGGAAAATCAGCATTGTCTGACTGGCTGCTCTCCCCAACGTCTGTCCAGGATGAGTTTTTCCCTCACCCAAACTGTGCAGGTTTCATAGTTTCTGCCAAAACTAGGGCTTGTGCAGAAGTCATTTCAGGGCAGATCTTCCCACGGGCAGGAGGAGATAACTGCTTTCTGTCCATGGGATGACCCCCTGGGGTAATGCCAGCTGGTGTCTCCTTGCAGGCATCAGAGGTGGAGCGGCAGCTCTCCCTGCAGGTCCACACCCTGCGGGAGGACTTTCGGGAGAAGAATTCCTCCAGCAGCCAACACATCGTGCGGCTCGAGAGTCTCCAGGCTGAGGTGAGTCACCCACGCTCGGCCCCATGCCTTTAAAGGGTGGCCAGAGCTGTCTTAACTTGTACAATATACCCCTGCAAGCTGGGTAAACAGAACCTGCTGCTTGGAGCAAGCAAGGAGAAGGATGGTGGCTGTGGGGTGAAGGACTTCCCCAGGGAGGATTTTTGCTGCCAGCCAGGGCTGGCTGGAGTGGCACTGACCAGCTTCCAGCACTGCCTCAGCCACAGGCACCCTGCAAAAGGAAGAGATGAGAAGAATCTTCCAGGAGCTAAACCATGGCTGTGCTCCTGCAGAGCTGCTGCCCAGTACAGATTAAACTCTGGGGCAAGGTGGGAGGTCTGCAAGGGTTTGGGTTTTTTTTTTCTGTTTCTCATGCTTGCAAAGAAAGCAGCAATCCTCTCCTGCCTCTGAGCCACACAAGTGGGAAAGCAAGGAGCCCCTGCTTGATTTAGCTCTGGTACATTAGCAGGAATGATATTACCTTCTTTCCCTTTCCCTTCCCTGATGTGGAGGTCACTGGGGACCACGTAGGCATGAACTAGATGGGTAGCTGATGTCCACCTCTACTACCCAACCACTTCTTTAAATTATAAGCTGTCTGGAAAGAGCTTTTCCTAAAATCTCTCAATTTCTTCTTTTCTCCTGCTCCCACCTGCTCCCTGCTGGTCCCTCGCCTTTTCTTCCCCTCCCCTTGGTGTGGAGCAGCAGGTCCTTGAAGTAAGTATGGAGGCTCGGAAAGGGTTTGCCTGCGCGTGCTCCGCTGCTGCCATGCATGCCTGTCGCTGCACGCCTCACCTGCCTCCTCACCCCTTCCTGCCTGCTGCTTTCCAAGTCCCTTTCCCCGGGCCCACAGCAGAGAGATGGGTTTTTTTCTGTTATATGGTCATCCACAGGGTGTTTGTTACTGGTTTGGGTACCAAATATGAACTCTCAATACAATCTCTGTATTATACATCTTGTTTTTCTTGCACCCCATTTCTCCAGCCCACGCAAATCACGATGGCTGTGGGAAGAGACATCTTAGAAACCATTAGTCACCTAAGAGGAGCTTTCTAATACCTACAGCAGCCTTTACCCCACAGAAATAACAAGTCCACACGCTTTGTTAATATTCCTTCATGCAACCACCTGGAAAGCAGCAAAGAGACAAGGTCCCAAAGAGGCCAAGAAAGCAGTGGGAAGGTTCTGAATTTGAAGGTTCATGAATTGAAAGGAGGCCATAGGGAGTATTTAGAGTTATACTGGACTGGTAAATGGCATGCCCAATCCCCAGAGGTCTTGTGTGTACTAATCTGGGAAAACACTCCTTTTTCTTGGTTAAAGAAGAAGTGACCTTGGCTACTGCTGATTCATCCTGTGCACTGTTCCCAGCCAACTGAATCACAGAGGCTTTGCTTGGCACGTTGTCCCTTTTCACCTGAAATCGCCGCCCTTGACAATTAAAAGAAATGAACCAGTTTTAAAGGCAACCCATCACTGGGAGACTAAAAATAAGCATGGCACAGAAAGGAGTCTACACAAGTGAAAAGACAAAAAAATCCCTGGTGAGGACCTGGCAAGCACACAGCAATTCAGGCAAGCACATGGGCAGTGCTGGGCCACAGCCCTGCGGGGAGCAGGATCCTGCAGGCTCATCCTGTGGTCTCCAGCACCCAGGCAGGAGAAAAGGCCACCGTGCTCAGTCAGCACCAGCCAGGAGAAGTTAGTTGTTTTGCCTCGTCTTGCAAATTCTAAGGTGCAAATGGTGGGCAGGGCTGGCCTCCACTTTGTTTGGACATTTCTGCCTGCTCCACGGCCTCCTGCCAACGCACACCCAGCCCCTTCAGAGCTGCCCCTGCAGCCTGGGGAAGGAGGAGTTTCCTTTCAGAGCCTTCCTAAGCATTAAACCACACCCTGAGATACAGTTTCTCTCACATAGGTACAGAATGTGTACGTGCATACCTTTGCTTTTTGCTGGTTCTTTTCTCTCTTGGGACTGGGGTTTCCTTCCTCTCCTCCCTGGAGCGCGGGGTCCGACACTGCCTCTCTTCCCTCCGCAGATCAAGATGCTGACAGACAGAAAGCGGGAGCTGGAGCATCGCCTTAGTGCTATGATGGAGGAGAATGACCTGCTCCAGGGCACCGTGGAGGAGCTGCAGGACCGAGTCCTCATCCTGGAGAGACAAAGCCATGACAAGGACCTGCAGGTGAGGCGGCAGTGATGGCACAGGGAAGAGGTGGGGAAATGCAGTAGAAGACATGGTTTAGGGTAAAACTGACCCGGAAGGTAATCAGGAACTGGGAGACAAAACAACTAGAAGAATAAAATGGGTCATATAAGCATAGCAGAAAGCAAGGTTCTGGATGTTCCCCATAAGGACAGATAACAGGAGGCACAGTGGGGTATCTGGACAGCAAAAAGCAACCTGGGAGGGAGATCTGAGCAAGTGAGTGGCCAGGGTGCTGGGGAAGTGAGGTAAATGTAAAAAGAAGCAGAGAACTCTAATTGCAGTTCATGTTACTTAATTTTTTAGTAGTACAATTGGCTTCAGAAGGGCCTTCTTAGACCCTGCTGTCCTAGCTCTCCAAAACAGCCCTGAATATTTTTTTCCCTTTAAAAATATAATTTGTATTTATACATGTGTATAGTTTTTTTAAAAAAACATGTCTCTATAACGTTCCTTTTTAGATTCACTTCCTTTTGTGTTGTTTTCAGCAATGTTTTTTTTACCTGAGTCCCAACTTTTCCTTCACAATGTTACTCATTTGAGTGCTGATTAACCTGCTATTTTTATCTTTCAGGATATTCTGGAGTCTAAACAATGTCTAATGACATTTGCAGATTATTAAGCTCCAATAAATAGCAATACCAGCCAAGAGTACTTTCCTCCTGGCTGGAAACTCTCTCTCGTGACACCCATTACTCCCTCTCAGCTCCCCCACGAACCAAGAGATTCATCCAGTCCATACAACCTCCTCTAGTAATTTTTTTTTCCCCACTTCCTTGACAAATTCCTTGATTTTCTTTGCAAGCTGCACCAAAGCCAGCTGGAGCTCCAAGAGGTGAGGCTGTCCTACCGGCAGCTACAGGGGAAGGTAGAAGAGCTCAGTGAGGAGAGAAGTCTCCAAAATTTCAACACAACCAGCACATCCCTGCTATCTGAGATAGAGCAGAGCATGGAGGCAGAGGAGCTGGAACAAGAACGAGAACAGGTATTTGTCCTCCAGCCCCTGGACCCCTGCAACCACCCCCAGAGGGATAGGGAGTTTAGTTAATTTGACCTGGATTTGGAGCTGAACCAAGAACCAGAAAATTGGTGCTGTAGTCTCAGCTCTGGTATCAACACTCTTTGACCATATGAAAGTAAATTTCTGCATCCATTTGAAAACCAATAGAAGATGATAGACAACTATTTGTGAGGTTTAGCAATTACGTGGCTCACTTCACCACGCAAGGAGGCTCTCCATGGCCTTGATGTCCCAGGCTAATGTGAAGCTCTCTTGTTCCAGCTGAGGCTGCAGCTCTGGGAAGCGTATTGCCAAGTGCGGTATCTCTGCTCCCACCTCAGAGGAAACGACAGTGCAGACTCAGCAGTCTCTACAGACTCCTCCATGGATGAGTCTTCAGAAACCTCATCAGCCAAAGATGTCCCAGCTGGAAGCCTACGGGCAGCTCTCAGTGAGCTGAAAAGACTGATACAAAATGTGCTGGATGGGGCAGACTCCACGGTAAGTTGCTGGCACAGAGAGACCTTGGCCTGTGCATGTCCCCTTGCCCAGATGACAGAGCTTGCTGCAGGTTTCCACTGGATCCTGAAGTCCCTGGTCTCCAAGAAAACCTCTGTGGCCCACAGAGATGGGCTGTCACAGTGCACAGCCTGCTCCGTCTGGCTCAGATGGTCAGCCAAGAGCCAAGCCTGCACGTGGAGTTTCAGCCTGCTTGTGGTCAGACCACCCTAAGTTTCAAGCCCATGCAACCATTGTTGGCCTTGGAGTCATTCTGGACCATTAATGGAAGTAGGCTTTGAGATTTGGAGTAAGTTAGAGTTTCAACATGGAAACACTGCAGATTGCCTTATATGCCACAGTTCAGTTGTTTCTCTTAGGATTTTCCTAACCTGGCTTTATTAGCAACAGTGTCACAAAACCATTGTAGTCCCCATGTGGGTAGGTTCCACCCCTGTGAATTAACACTGTGTATGAATGTCTTGGCAAGAGCTGCCAGTCTTAAATCCATTCACAGGCAAAGAGCTTTGATGGCACGAGAAGGTGTCTGTGGGCTATGGCTCTGGGGGTGCTGGGGGGGAGGGGGATGGCATGGAGGACCACTCAGCATCCACAGGAGTGCAGAATTATGAGAAAACTCCTCACTTTTTGCAGTGGCTCAAATCAGGCCTATTTCCATCACTCACAAGCTGGTTGTATTGCCAATATGACTTATTTGAGATGCCATGGTGAGGAAGACGGTGCAGACCCTGCAACTGCAGACCCACAGGGGAGTACTCACCCTCCTCTTGTGTTAGTACCTGTAGCAGCTGGTAAGAAGGCTGAGCATAGAGATGAAGTTATATTTGTTAAATGAAAAAGAGGGAGTCCTGCAAAAAGGTCTACAAACACGGGGACTGTAGCCTTATGTTACCAGGTGGTCAGTAGGTCTCTAAGTGTGGTTTATGCTAAGGTGAGAACATGTCTGCATGCCCTTTTTATCATGTGTAGTAGCAGCACTGCCCTTGGCTGAGCACGTTTCCATGCGGAGGCATTTGGAAACAAAACCGAAACTCAACCAAAGTCACGTTCACATTTCCTCATTTAGTATCCCCCATCCCCAAACAGTATCAAATTAATGCAATTGCCTTTTTTTAAGTGAAATCTGAGCAACAGATTTCTCTCCTGCTCTCAGAGCTCCCGACGAAGTGACGATGACACCTTAGAGGAGCAGATCAGGAGAACGAGCGAGGATTCGCGTGCCCTGAGGGAGTTAATGGAGGGAGAACGGGGGAAACTGAGGCAGAGTTTGGAGGAGCTGCAGCGACTGCACAGCCAGGTTAGCAATTCCCACGCTTTATATCTGGTCTTGTAACACCAGTGTTCATCCTCCAAGACATGCCTTCCATAGAAGAGAACAGCATGGTAAATAACCCAGAAGGACTTGGGTCAAACCCAGTTAAGGTTCGATGATGGAGATTCTGTTAAATCCAGTGTAGAGGTTTCAGGCATTTAGGATCAGATTTTTTTGACAAGTTGTCTGGCGCCCATCCCAAACATCATCTCAAGCAGCCAAACTGCCTTTAAACCTTTTCAGCCAAACTGTCTCCCTTCAGTTCTCCTCAGCAGAAGACCTCAAAGTACAAGGCTGCTTGATACCGGTACTGGAAACCCTTAGATGTCCAGTCTGACTCATTTTGCTTGCACTAAGCCCTCATAAAGGGTATATGCAACCACTGGATGGACTAAAAGTGTACTGCTCTGGTGTCCATGGCACAAGGTTCACCTCCTTCCGTGGCAGCATCCCAAAATCCTCATAAATGCACACCCAGAGAATCTTAATCATGGCCAGCCTGCCACCGGGCAGCACCCCAGGGCCAGCAGGGACTGGGTGAGACAATCTCAGCAGCAATGAATGATCCAACCCCCAAACCAACACCACACTCAAGGCACAGAGTCACGCTGCATCCGCACTGGATGTAGCATCATCTGTGACTGATGTCCTAGGCCAAAAGCAGCAAATGGAGACAAGCACTCGAGGAGATGCTCTGCAATCCCTATCCTTATGGGACAAGTCTCCAAACGCTGGAAGGGATCTGGAGGCTGCAGAAGAAGCAGCTTTTAACATAGCTGCTTGTGTGGCACCAACCACACTGGAGCAGGGAGTGGGATTAACGCCTTGGCTGGTCTTGCCAGCAGTGCTGTATCACCCTTCTGCTCTACCCTCTGGAGAAGAGAAAAGAAACACATCCCTGTTTAGAAAGTCAGCACAACCTGGGGTCTGACAGCCTCGTGCAGGGCTACGGCAGCTCCCACCACAGGGCCAAAGAAAGAAGAGCAAGAGCATCACGAAATGTCCCTGGCAGCGCTGGCTGCGCGTGTATGAGGGTGGGGAACAGACTCTGCCCAAAGCCAAACCGAGTTTCCCAAAGCAGCTGCCGGAGGCAGAGTGCAGTGAGGGAGCAGCCCGGGCACCTGTCCTTCCCCAGGGACTGCTCCTCTCAGCAATGGGGCCACCACAAGAGGCAACTTCGAGGGTCCAACTTGTGTCCCCAGTGAGACGGGAGCCCAGATGCTCCTCTGGCTGTGCTGCCATCATCCTGTGCTGCCAGAGACCATTAGAGGCTTATTCACAGATTTTGAGTGACCATCCATACACCAGCCTGCTTGTCTGGATGCAGCAACTCCTTACCTCTGCTCCTGGGCACACAAAGCCTTGACAGGACAACAGGAGGGAGCAGAACCTGATTGTCCTTTGTCTCCCCAAACTCCCCAGCCAGGAAGGACCAGAGAACCCACCCTGGATTGCAAGCCTGCACCCTCTTCTCTGCTTTTAGGAGTCCATAACTACCAAAGTTCTGAATATTTAGGGAGCAAAGGGAAGATTGCAATTCTACTTTTCTTCTCACACCTCCTTTCTGTGGAGAAAGATGGTGCATAACCACAAAAGCAGCACTCCAGCCTCATGCAGCAAGTTCATGTCTCCCACAGCTTCTGCCCATAACCCAGCCTTGCGCTTGCTTGAGATTAATAATTATTATCTCATCCTATAGAAGAGGCAACATTGTCTTCCATTCAGTCCTAAAGAAAACCACAGAATCATAGAATGGCTTGGGTTCAATCAATGCACGTGGAAATTGGGTCCACCCTGGGGCAGTAGTGCTTTGCTACCTGCCCATCCCTCTGTGCTGCCACTGGTATTGTTACAATCAAAGGGGAAGAAGAAGTCCTAAACAGCTTTTGGGACCTACCAGCACCACACAGGTTCATTGCTCCTGCTTATGAGCAAGGTGAGCTGGTGTAGACAAGAGCCGCCCCAGCCTCTGCCTACACTAGAAGGTGGTTTCCCACTTTCTGCCTGCTCCATTTCCTCCCTCTCGGGCATCCCATTCTTACCTGAAACACAGACAAAACCAGTTAAATCCCCAGACCTATCCCCAAATGCATTTTTTTGGACCTCTAGATCCACTGTCCCCTGGGATCTCAGCAGAAGTGCTCAGCACCTTTCACATAGCCCCACCACTGCTCTCCACCACCTCATTGCTCTGAGGTGCACCCCTTGCTGGGCTGTGGGAGGGCACAGCTTGGGCAGAGCTCCCGGATTCCCTGGCAGCCCCAGCACACAGCAAGGAGCCTCTGCACACAAACAGGGTGTGTTTGCACCCTCCTCCTCCTCGACCCAGCTACGCTGTGCTAACAGCAGATCCTCCCACGCCATTGATATGATGAGCCCTTTTTGACTGTCTGTCCTCTATTTAAAGATCTCTTTGAGGATTCCAGCTCTACTGAGCTGCATTTAGCAAAAGGAGGTGGGTCAAACACTGGAAGGGTTTGCAGGTGGTGGAGTAGCATAACAGAGCATGTGTGTGCCCTAGACGAAGAAATTAAATGTCTATGAAATAGTGCAAAGCTGTGCTAATGCAATCCTTGCATGATTTCACACCCTATTAACTCACTCTGCACAGGACCAATACGATAGATCATTGCTCGGACTATTTAAGACTCCGCACATATTTTAAAGTCTAACTAAAATCTAAAATGTGCCAGTAACACTTTCCACAGTGTGAAAGAGAATTTTCACATCCTTTGTCTTCGGCTTCATACTACATCAAGACACATAATGGCCCTCTCCAAAACCAATCTTGTTTGCTGCTAAATTATGTTTGCAATAATTTAACCCTGGAAAGAAAACAAGAGGCAGGCTTAGCGATGCATGCACAAGAGTGCTTGGAGAAGAACAACATTGATGTCACAGTGACAACAAAATTGCAGGTGGGTCCTGCCCCACACAGCTTTCGGGGCTGTTGCTGCATGTTGCTGAGACTGTCTTTGTGACCCAGCTTGCTCAGACCATCACTGCTGGCATTCTGGGGTGAGCTGGCACAATTCAGGGGGGCCTTCCACCAGCATTAACAGCCCCCTCCCAGCAGACACAGCTTCTCTGACAAGCAGGGGAGCTCAGCCTCCCAGCTGGCCCATGTGGCATTTTCCCCTCCCCACGCATGGTGAATGTGCCTGAGCAAGCCTGGGTTTCACAGCGCCCCTCTGCCCGCAGGTCACGCTGCTGAGCGTGGAGATGACAACGCTGAAGGAGGAGCGGGACCGGCTGCGAGGCGCTGCCGAGGACAAGGAGACGAGCGAGCGGCTCCTGCAGGCCATCAGGGACCGGGACGAGGCCATCGCCAAGTACGTGTGTGAGCAGCCAGAGCCGGCCTGGCTTAGCAGCTATGGGGTGCCTGAGCAGGAGGCGCCTCTGGGGTGGGTTTCTCCCACTCTCCACAAATTTCAGGAGCTGTTACAGAGTGATGGAGTGAATCTTGGCTTTGCTGCATTGGGAATGCTGCCAGAAGCTTGGAAGCAGGGCAGGAGATGCTGATTTCCAGGGCTGCCCTAGGGCAGGATTGGGGTCATTTAGGAGGCTGCTGTGAACCACGTTTTTGCCGTCCCTGGTGCTGGTGTGAGTCACAGCAAGGAGACGAGGACTTCAGGGAATCAAATAGAAACACTAGGTCTGCCCTATTTGTCATGGTTTTCTTATTTTGCTCTGCCAGACACTCTACCCTGCTTTCCTGCCTACCTATCCCAATTACAGCCCTGCTTGGGCTTCTTCCCTGAACCATTTCTCTGGTCACTCACTCTTCTTTCCTGTTCCTGGGTCTTTTTCGCACCTCCAGCAATTCTCTCTCTCTCCTTTGAGGACTGTCCCCCTGTTTTGACCATTTTCCCCATCCTCCTCACTGCCCTGGGCAGTTTTTTCTACCCTGGACCCCACACCCCTCTGCTCTGTGCTTGGGCTTGCCACACTGCCCTGAGCACTCCTGGCCCCAGGGAGGGGGCAAAAACTTTCACCCTCTTGTACTCTAGCTAGAAAGCATACATCTGATAGTCTCTTCAGTAAGCAGATGGGGCAGGACACCAGCAGCCCATCTCCTTGTGGAAACACCCAATATTCAAGCCCTCGGCAAGAGGAGGAGCACGAGAGCATCGCACCTCTGAGGATACGGGGGGCTAAACCAGCACGCACAACCCCTTCACCCTTTTTTAGGTGACTGATCCTCCGCGTTGCTCTGGCCGGGTAGCTGGCTACCCCCAGTCCTCACCGCTAGCCTCTCTAACACCTCCATCTGTTGGCAGAAGTCAGGAGCATCCCAGCTGCACTGCCGGCTGCAGAGAGGTGGTTCTGACATTTCCAGCGTGTGGGCTGCCGGTTCTGCCGTGGCCATGGCAACACGCTGCCGCCGTGCTAAATCCCCCGGCAAGATCACGCAGCAGTGGGGAGCCTCGCAACAAAAGGCTATTTGAGGTGCTCAAGCCCACAGCCGGGAGTGGAAGAGTCCAGCTTCTCCGCAGTGCTTAATGACCCTGCTGGGACAAAGCACGAATATTTACGGCTGGCTGTCCTGCAGTGACAGGAGCCCAGAGAAAGGGGGATGTGACGAGTGTGTACGGGTGAGTGGCGGGTGATTAATGAGCAGAAAGTGGCTGCAAGCAAAGCAGACAAGAGCGGCTTGTTGGCAGAGATGAAGCATCCCTCCACAGAGCGAGCGGGCTGCTCCCAGGCAACCAGCCGCTTCCCACCTGGCACCTCAAGGGTTAAGTCACTTCTGTTCCAGCCCTCCCCAAAAAAAAAAAAAACCAAAAAAGCCCTAACTCTGAACAGAAATAAAATCACTGCCTGAGGCAGACATCTGGCATGGAAAATTTTTAGCTTGAAGCTGAATTTTGGCAACACAGGAAGCAATAAGAAAATAGGATCATGTAATAGGAGGCGTTAAGCAAGTGCTACCTGGAATATCAACACAAATTCCCAAATTGATCTTTGCAGAGGAGCACAAGGGAGCTATTAGGAGGCGATGAATTAGCTACAGTTAATAAGATGCAATTATTTCTCAAAAAAAATGTCTGCAAGGAAAGATGGTTCCCAGCAAGTCATGTTACAGTTTCACATCACGCAGCAGTTAATTGAAAACTTGAGGTTTGTGCTCACCTGTGTGCTCCCAGCGTGGTGAGCAGCATTTCCCTGCTTGGGCAGCTTAGGAAATTCCTCCTTCCTAGAGGACAATTCCTTTCCACTAGTCAGTAGCAGCTGAAACATCTCAGCCACTGAACACTCAGAGCCCTTTGGGCAATCTTGGCCATGGCATCACATGCCCAGTGGCCACCAAATGCCTGGAATGAAATGCAGTAGCAGTGTTCCCAAGGGTCAGCACAAACCCATTGAAACTGGGAGCTTTCCTTAAAGCGTGACATTAAATTCAGTTTTAACAATTTGTCATTCTTAAAAAGCATATGCTGTGATAAACTTTCTTCCCTCAATCCAAGCCCTGAATGAAAGCAGTTGTACTCTGAGGGGTTTTATGTTGCAACTTACTGAGTGATCAGACACAGATCATTCAGTTTCAGCACATACCATTTCCTTTCCTATGCATTAGTAAACAGAAGAAGAGGAAAAATATATTTATATGTAGATTCTACCTCAGTTTAGATCTCTATTTTTAATGGCAGATCCTGCACGTTCTCCAGGCACACTATATTATCTTACACAGCAGTGTATCTGAGTATCTTTTCTTATTCTTCACAGCGGGCTTATCAGAAATTTTTGTAAGTAATGGTGTCTACAGTTCTGTCCCACTCTTCAGATGAATAGGTTGTCCAGAATACACCAGAGATGAACAGCTCAGCATCTGGGGACTTGCCAGTGAAAGAAATCGTTGACTTCTCCTTAAGGATATTAAATATATTTTTATAAACCACTACCTTAAAAAAAAAAAAGAAAAAGTCACATGCCCCAATTTCTCCCTCTCCCCCCAGGAAGAACGCAGTGGAGGTGGAGCTGGCCAAGTGCAAGATTGACATGATGTCCCTTAACAGCCAGCTGCTGGACGCCATCCAGCAGAAGGTGAACCTCTCGCAGCAGCTGGAGGCCTGGCAGGTGAGCAGCCCCCGGGCACCCCAAGGAAGGGGCTGGGTGGCATGTGGCCCAGGAGGCACCTTTGGATGACTTCTCCCCTTTCCGTGTGGGTTTGCTGCGTTCTCAGCCTGAGTGTCCATAGCCCAGAGCATTTGCTTTTGGCTTTGCCATGGTGCCCAGGGGGTGAAACAGCCCTTCCGTGCTCCAAGCCTTTCAGCTGTGAGCTGTTAATCACACAGCAATACCCGGTTAAAATGGAGAAGCAAACTGTATCTCGTGGCTGCACACAGCATGGGTGACACAGGCTTTGAGGAGTAACCTGCTGTGGCCCAGGGAGGGAAGGTGTCCCTGCAGGAGATGTCCCTGGGCAGGCGCAGCCCTGGGCACGTGTGGGTGCAGCTCATCCTTGCGTTTCCATAATGGAGCAGAAAGGTGGGAGGCAGAGAGGTTGTGGTGATTGTTTCACGGTACAGCTGCGCTGTTTTCATCAGCTCAGAAGATCCAGCAAGATGGAGAAGCTAAAATCCCAGCTCTCCACCAGGGCTAAAAACCCAGACTCACAGCAGCTCAGCAGCTACCCTGGAGATGCTCAGCTTGGGGTCAGTGTAAAGGCAGAGAGCCCCTGAGAGCAGCCAAGGCTGTCTCCTCCCAGAAGCTAGCACCAAGGGAGGGTTACTTTCATAGAAAACAAGCAGATACAAGAGGAAAGGAAGGGGCCAGTTACCCTGATTTGTTGCAGACCATGCAAGACCCCGACTCTACTAACCACCAGCCTGACCGGTAGAAACCTCTCCTGTGCAACCTTGCTCCTGTCTCAACTCCACTGTGTTTTCGTTTCTCTTTTTTCTTTCTTTTCTTTTTCCTGCTTACAGTTTGCTTCCTCAGGGCTTTTTACTATATGGCTCCTTTGGTTTCTGATCTAGTGGCCTTTCTCAGTTCCTGTACCAACAGCTTTAGTCGTACACCCCTCCTGCCTTTGAGGTGAGCTCCCCACACCCTTGCCAAGCACCCACCATCTCCTCGCCTGCTCCATTCGCTGCCACCATCACCCACATCCGTCTCTGTCCTCACCATCACCTGGCAAGAGAGGCCACTGGGGAGTCTCCCATCACCCACCAGTATTCTGCACAACACACACGAGGCTGGGGCACGAGGGGCAGCATCTGACACCCCATGGTGAGGGTGTACCCCCCCCCAGGTCACCACGGGGAAAGCCAGGCTGAGGCACACATGTCATTAATCCTCTGGATTAGGCATAGCTAGTATCTGGAAAACTTCTTGAAATACAGAGTGGGATTTGACTTCTGAGCCTCGTTATGTACTAAGTGACATTCAGTGCTCTGCAGAGGAGCTGTCTGTGTCCAGATTCTGCTTCAGTTTGGATGGGTGCTATAAACTGAGACCTACTTACTAATACACTCAGTATTCAGTGCTGGAATATCCCCAGTTTAGGGTTTTAACAACAGGCATTTGCTTTCTCACTTCACACTGTCATCCAATTGCAGCAACACAGCAGCCCCAACCCTGCTCCCATCAGCTCCCTGAGGTGGGGAATCAGGCCCACTAACACTGCAGAAAGTTGTCTCAGATAAATGACCCATCATTATTAACGCAGTAGCAAAGTAGTTTCCAAGCACCTGATGTCACCAGACAGAGGCACAAAATGACTCAGGTAATTTATGTATTTTGGGGACTGCTTTCATAAAGCTGAATGTTCCTGAGAAAATGGGATGAGATTCTCTGATTCTCTGCTTCAGCTGGAGGGTATTTTTTTTTTTTTTTGCTCTTGCACACTTCTAGTCTGGACTTTACCAAGGACCATCAAGAAGATCACAGTTTTCTGTAAGCACATAAAAGCAGGCTATAAAATACACCACAAGCAAATCCTGCACATCTGAGCCTAGCACAGGAGTGGATGTGCAGCACACCCACGCCTAACCTGACCCCCACTGGTATTCATCATCTGACTGGGGGCAGGAGGGGTGTTACTGGAAGTAGGGAAGGAATATGGAGCAAACCTGGAAGTGAAGAGGGCTGCTTCTCTGGAATGAGAGCTCAGTGGCTTCAGTGCAGTGGTGACAGGGGCACCATTAGGTTAGAAGATGCTGCAATGCCAGCTGAGAGCTGCAGCCTGCATGGCCACAGCCACCAGCTTCCAAGGTTGCCTTGGGCAGCTCCAAACTTCATCTCACACAAGGGAGCCCAGCTCCAGCTCACAAAGAGGATATATGCCATTTGTGCCTCCTTCAGCCTCACCCCTTCTGCACAGAGCAGAAACTCCTTTCTGGAACGCCCAGAGCACACCAGTATCATGTTCTCCAGCTTTATGGGACCACTTTATCAGATGGTACCACTGGTGTTTGTCCTCCCTCTGCATCCCGATACTCCTGTGCCCCTGCCCAGTGCCAAGGCAGGGACCACAGCTCTGCCCCAGTGTACATCTCTCCCGAATCTTCACAGCCAAGTGCTGTGCTCTCTGATTCACACATCACACAGACAGGGACCCAGACACAACACCACATACCTGACTCTCAATACTGCATACTGCATTTATATATATAATATCTTTCTGTATATATATAAAGATCATACTCACCCCTTGTTATGTGGTTAACCAAGGACACAGATCTGCCGTGCTGGAGCCTGGGTGTCTACTTCATCTTCTAGCTGAGGTGCCTTAAAAATCCAAGTGCTGATCCAAGTGTCCACTTTTTCACATGGCAGCTTCACCTCTGGAAACCTGTTTCACCTTAATGCTGATGTTCACCTTAACCTCGTCAACTCTCCCTCTGCCTTTCCTCTTTCTAGCCCTGCTCTAAAAAGATCCAAAGCTTCCCCAGTCCACATAGCTCTGCACCCTCCTACTCCCCCTTGGAAAGTCCCCATACGAAATTCAGGTTCAGGCCATGGCTATCAACCTTTTTCCCTGCAGAAAATGCTGCAACACAAGATTAGCCATCATTCAAGTTTCTAGCCCAAACTGGATGGTTTTAATTCCATGTCAAGCTACAGAGTAGCTGGAGCATCCACTGGGTGACAGGAACACCTTCCCTTCCATCTCAGTGTTGCCCTGATGGACTGCCCTGCACGAGGTGCCAAGTGAATGGCACTTCCACCACTACAGCCCTTCCAGAGTGTCCTTGTTCTCACCAGATACTGCCCTTAATCCTAATCGGGTCTGGAGAACAGTTGATTTATCCTGTGGGGATATTTTGGGTACATGTTTTCACTAAGCCACGGTTTAAATATGCAATTACAGCAGAAATAATGGATCTGAAGGTTTCAGATTTGTGGAACAGATAGCCAGGTTTTCAAGGAACACATTAGCAACAACAGAACTGACTAATTATTTTGTGTAGAGCAATTTCCCAGTGCTGCAGACACAGATGAAGCCAGGGAGTTTCTGGTACATGGAAAAAACCACAGGGCAGTTGTTCAGGCCAAGCTGTCAGTCAGAGCTCCCACTCCTCTGCTGGTGCCAGGGGAAGGAGCGGCTCTAAGGGATGAGCAGAGTTCTCTTTGGTAAGTCTGGTGCAAAACCCACAAGGGGTCTGGTGGGCCCATGCCTGGCCCCAGCCCCTCGGCCCCTGGTGGCACCTGCCCTGAAGAAGCCCCATTAGCAGTGGCTGTGCAGGCAGCTCTCTCACACCTACCTGTCTGCTCCACTTGGCAAGCACAAAGACCTGCTCAGGACAGCCATCCTTACTTTCTCTGCAATTCACTTTCAGCTGCATTTGTTCTTTTTTATTTCTTTCTTCCCCTAAAGGGGACATCTGCCAGCTGCAGACAGCAGAGAAAGAGTTCAGGGGTGCTGCAGAGTCCCAGGCAGGCACAATGCTCCTCTGTGAGACCACCTGGGCAGTTCTCCCTCGGAACTGTGGGTTTGCCTTCCTCGCTTGCCAGAAAGCTTGACAGCAGGTAGTAAGGCTGAGCCTGCTGCCAGGTGGGGAGCCAGACCTGTCCCCACTCTTGTCACCCCTCATCCATCTCATCACAGCACGTTTCACCCCCATTTCAGCCGCGTCCCTGCGCGAGCGCACTCTGAGCACCCGCTGCCCCTAACGAGCCTCTGCTCTCTCTGCCGCAGGATGACATGCACAGGGTCATTGACCAGCAGCTGATGGACAAACACCCGAAGGAATGGAGCCAGCTTGCTTATTCCTTCTCCAGTGGCTACGGCGCCAAGCGGAGTGCCAGGCCCCCCGTGCTCAGGCCGGAGCAGCAGGGCGACGAGCCCGCTGGCGCAGAAGGGAGCCGCCTCTTTTCCTTTTTCAAGAAAAATTGATTTGAAAAAGAGAAACCTCTCCAACAAATCCTGCTTCAAGATGGGGAGTGGGGCAGCTGCCCAGCTTGCTGATGGACCCAGCTCTGATCCACTACGGAAAAAAGAAGGGGGCAAAGGAGTTAACCCTTGAGACTCTGCACTATTTACACCGCACCTGGTCTGAACCAAATGTTTACATGAACTGGAGATTTGCAAACTGACAATGTGATACTAATAGAAAGAAACTTTTCTTATTCTTTAAGTGAAGTGATAAACTTCAGGGTATATTTTAGTCGCTTTGACACAGTCCAGTTTCTGCTGTGAAGAGTAATCTGATTGTCTTAAAAGCATTCTCGTGCTGGAGAAGGAAATAAGCAGCCCCAAGACAAAGCAGAGCAGGGAATTGAGAGCTGCCGTTGAAGGAGCACAGGACGAAGAAGAGGGCTGAAGGCAAGAGAGGAGAGGGGAGTCACACCAAGAGAGCAGAGGGGAGTCCTTCCGCCCTCTGGCCCCAGCAGCTTCATCCATCCAGCTGAGTCTGGAGTCGCCCTGGCCCCAGTGCTGCCGTGTTTGGACAAGTGTAGCCTCCTCTGTGGTGGAAGCTGAGCCCTCACTGCAGATCCTGCCTGGGCACCATCTCCCCTGCAGCTCTGTGCAGCTCCTCTCCCTCCCCTCGCTGGGATCCCGTCCAGGCTCCTCGTGGATCAGGGCACTTGTAAGATTGCTGATGTTACTGTTTTCTCTCGCTCCCTCCTCTTACAGAGATAAGAGTTGCAGAGTCTGTAGTGACACAGAATGTTAAGGACTTATCCCCAGGAGACCAACTATCTATAACTGATTGCAAACTGGATGAGAGTTGTGGATGTTTCATCCTGGGGCACCTACTGTCCCTCCAATGGCCAAAGGTAGTTGTGGGGCTTCAGCAAGTCACACACCTTTCCCTAAAGCCATGTGCCCCACCCAACCAGAACAAGAAACCTGTCATTTTAATTGGATAGGCCCCCAAAAGTCTAGCTTATGATTCACTGAAAGCCTACCTGTAATGATGTTAGTAGGTCTTTGATGCTGGGCTGGCTGATGATCCTCAGAAAGCATGCAGGCATCTACCTGTACTAAAGCCAAAGGCAATTAGTGTGTCTACAGAGCTCTGGAAATTCTGCAGCTTACTCTGCCCCACACAGTAACATCAGCTATGGCCTGACGAAAATGGTGATTATTTATCCCTGCCTGTGGGTCATTTATCACTCAGCCCCTTGGCAAGCAGGTGAATCCTTTATGGAAGATGGGCAGAGCCTGCTTTGCTGTAAGCATGACTTGATCAAGGAGAAGGAACATAGCTTATTTGGTATATGCACACGGTGGTGCTGGAAATCCTGCAATAGTTAGTAGGGACCTTCCCTGGGCGCTGGATGGGCACCTTACAGCTCTTCTCTTTAAGACAGTCTACCATCATAAACCAGCGAGGAACACCAGCCTAAGTCCAGAGATGTCCTGCTGCCGTCATGCAATTTTCACACTTTCTCCCAGCTCACAATACCCACAAGCCCTAAAACTTCCCTGTTGCTTTAAAGAGGCTGCCACCTACACTGTCCCACAGGAGAGGGAGCTGGGTACACAGTCCTTGCCTGCCCTGCTCAGCAACCCAGGTGCTAAAACACCATCCTACAGGGAGCTGCTGTCTCTGCTCACTATTTACAGTAACAACCTCTCTGCTAGAATTAGGTATCAAATACCTTCTTCTAAGAAGCAGGTAAGAGGTTGGTGGCTTGTTTTTTATTTTGGTTTTTGTTTAGGGTTTTTTTAATTATTCAACTTACCTATGGGATAGAACATCCATAATACCTCAGAACAAATATCCTTTCTGCCTACAAAGATTTGAGCATTTCCATATTTCCTTGTTAGCATGAAACTACCACACTGGTACAGAATCATCTTGCACTGAGGTAGCTCCATGTTGTGAGGAGCAGAGTACTCTTTGGGATGGAGAACAATAGCAAAAAGCTGAGTGGTAAAATCCATTTCCACCTGAAAGCAACGAAACTTGGGCTGCAGATCCTGCTCCAGGGTGTATTTTGGTAAAGCACCACCAATACAGCTTGATGCTGCTGACAGGGAAAGGAGGCTGGAGTCTCAGGGGCAGGGAAGGGAACTGAACCTTGGCCTCTCCTTTCTAGGCAACGCTTGGCTGCCAAGATCCTGCTTGTGCGAGGACAAGGGACTCGGCGCAGTGCCAGGTGCAGCCCCAGGATGGCAAATCCTCCCCCTCCCGTCTCACCTGTGCCGTGACTCTGGAAGGGGCAGAGACACACGGCACCCACTCAGCACCTCCTGCTGCCAGGACTCAGCCACGCCCCTGTGCACTCATGGAAACTTTGACACCTCCAGCTTCAGGCGTGGGTTCAGGATGCCGGTGATACCTGTGCACGCCTGTCTTACAGCTTGAATACCATGCTCTGCTCTCTGGGGCAGAGCCACGTGAACATCTTGGTCCTCATGGGCCATTTGTTTTGCTGTCAGCTGTCATTCCCCAGCCCCAAACAGCTCTCTCCAAGCCACGTGCCCAGCAACTGTGTGGGACTCTGTCCCTGTGAGGATGGATGGATAGATGGATGCAATCCCAAGGCAAGGGCCTTAAGCTATCCAGTGAAGATGCAGTAATGAGATGAAGAAAGGTGCCTTCTGCTACATGTTTGCTGAAAGTGACTCATTTGGTTGCAGGGGTAGGCAATTGAAAGGCACGGTCCATCTCTTCATTTAAGGAGGAACCTACCTTGATCCCATTGCAATTTTATTTACTTAATACCATTGATGGAAGAGATTGCAAGAGGAAAGTCAGTGTGTTCCAAGGTGCCAGTTTGGCATGGTTTCTTAAAACTAGCCCCTTAACCCTAGAGACTTAGTTGCACTACTAAACCCAGAAATACAAGAGAATTGGGTTTAATGAACTGGACAACACACCAAAGGAGACCTCCTTGTGCTGAGCTGCTACTCAACAGGAACAGAAACTGCCTTAACATAGCAGCTAGGTTTTGTTGTTTTGTCTTGAAAAAAAAACCCCTCATCAGTGCAGTCCTTCCTATTCATCATTTGTCATGTTGTTTTAATATGGTCCAAACTATTTCACCTTGAGCTGTCGTTAAAACACTCATCTCCATCCTGTCACAGCCAGGAACCTGGAATCATCCTTGCAGTGCTGGGTTAGAAGACACTCCACTTGGGATACTTGATACTTCCAGGGCACACATGGCCTAAAGGAAACATCAGCTCCAGTGCACGAGATGGAGGAAGCACATTAATCCAGCAGGTACTCGGGCTCCCAGAGCAGACTTAAGGAGTGGCATCAGCAGCTCTAAATACAACACTCACCCTTGGTTTTGAGATAATGGTAAATTAACAGTAGTGCTGCACAGTCACTGTTCAAATATTGCACAGAGAAGAGATGCCTGCTGAGATTAAGTTTAAAAAGAACTTTACCACAGTGAAGTAACCGGTGACTTTGGGCAAATGTTTGTTAGGCTAGCGTGAGGAAAAGGGATTGCTCTCCCTTCAGTAAACTCTGCAGGGGAAACGACTGGAAACCAGTAAATCTAAACGAAAGGCAAGTCACTAGCACTTTATCTTAATCCAAACTTAGTTCAGCAGCTTGCTGTGGAGATGAACAACAGATCAAATGACGACAGTGGAATGATTTTGCACAGAGAAGTGAGAAGTGAGGTTACAGGCAGTGCTGCATGCACGAGGACTGGATAGCTGCATGCACTTGTCCTACTTGGGATGGTAAATTCCAGATATGCCTCTACACCATGCAAACTCTCTACTCCCCACTCGGCTATAAAAAGCAAGATTGTTTTAACCAAAAAGCCAAGAAAGGAAGTGTCTGGGTGCTGCAGCAACGATTCCCTTAGATTGAGAGGGGAAAAGCACACAGCAGGGACAAGCAGAAAGAATGTACCTATAGATATGTACATATACCACAGTGCTGTAATTTTTGTATGTAGCAGTAATGTAAATAAACGTATGGTTTTTATAAGATACATATTATTAAAAAAAAATCTATAAAAGCATATTTTTAGTAAAAACAATGCTCTACTTCTTTTGTAAATAGTTCTCTTCAGAATAAAACAAATCATTTATACGATACCGTCTCAGCTCTCTTCACTGCTTATCTGGCCCAGCTGCAGAACAAGCTCACTTAACATCCAACAGCACCTTCAGTATTTCATCATCCCAAGAAATTCAGCCACGTAACGCACTTGCATGTGTTCTCTCAGAAGAGAACTGTCCTGGAGAAAGGACATTTGAAGCATTTGTCATCCTCTGCTGCACAAGAAAACAGAAAGGTGAGCTTGTAAATCTTCTCCACTTTCCAGCCGTTTGCATCATTTACTGGCCTTTATATGGGGAGGGTATTCCAACTTTAATGAGTCTAGACACAAAATACAGATGGACAATGAAACACCTCCAGCTTGCACCAGCTGCAGTTCAGGCCATCTACATGTCCTCAGGATTCCCCTCTACACAGTCGTACTAGAACAGCACAGACAGAAGAAAAGGCACCTCCCCACAGCAAGTTGCCATCAAGCTTCTCCAGAAGCAAGGACTTGCCTTCAACCACGGGTGTGCCAAGGGCAGGCAGGGGAAGTGAACACAGGGCAATGAGCACAGAGCCATCTACATCGCTCCTACCCAAAACCACACATGTTCATATCCTGGGAAAGCAAGCAGAGACTCCAGAGGTTTTTAATCAGCTCAGGGTCTGACCTCTGCTGCCTTTGAAGAGAAGCTTTCAAAGCTTGCTCAGCGCTTGTTGAACAGAATGACAGAAGATTATAACAAAATCATGAGCATCTCACTTTCATGCAGAAAAAAAGTTATCAGTTCCAGCTTACTCTTTCATTCACATTTAAAACTAGAATAGCAACTAAATATTTGAAAGCATTGACTGTGGTTTTGCTAATACCCCCTTCCCAGGAAAAAAAAAAACACTACATACAGAAGAAGTCACCCCTGGCTTGCCACCCTCCACCTCCAGATGCTGGACGGCAGAGGAAACAGAGCCTCAAAAAAAGATTTGGCATCTTGTAACCTTTATTTTTATTTTTTTAAAATTATTTAAAAAGCAGAATTAGAAACTTCCATTACAGAAATAATCCTAGCAAACCAGTTAGACATTCCATTGCTCAACATTTAGGAAACTTCACATCAGCACCACTAGAGACACAGTCCCCACCCCTTCCAATTGAATAGTCAGTGGCAAGAGCAGAGAGGTAACTGCTCCTCTACAGCCAGCTCTAGGAAAAACCAACTGAAAGGTCCTGCTTCAAGCCAGGAAGTCGGACACCTGGATTGGCAGAGTTCAAACTGTGGCCACAAAAACCTGGACTCAAAGAGGACCAATCTTTCCACGCAAGAGAACACTCCAGGCTTGGGTGCACCATTTCCTCAATTTATTGCATCATTTCCAGTAAATTCAGACATTTTTCTTTACTTCTGCCTGTATGAAGTTACTCCCTCCTAGATCTGCGCACGCGCTACCACAGGAGTGCCAAAGTAACGCAGCTGCGCCCCTTAACCCCAACGTGGCACCACCACGGGCCAGGGTCACCTCACCAGGAAGGCTTCCAGAGCTGACCAGCGCCTGCCTCGGGCACCCGGCACGTTCCACGTCAGAAAGCAGACAGGAGGGACTGGTGGAACTTCAGCTGCCACTTCCCACAGCCGCTCAAGTCTTACAGTTATCAGAGCTCACACTAGCAATATCATCCCAGCTCATTCTTAGTCTTGGGTTACCAATGAAAGATATGTGAAGAAGAGACGGGTGAAGGCAGCTGGATACATACTCCCAGCACCTGAACTGATTAAACGAAAGAATCCATGTGTTACACATTCATTGTTTGCACTTTTTAAAAAGTCCTCAACGTGATTGTGATGTGATTGTATGATTAGGGCTCTTACCACAACCCGTAAATTCTAAAAAGATGCAGGCAAAGTAAGTGACTAAAATTTAGCCTCTCCTGGGGGAGGGGGAGGAAGGGCGACAAGTGGGCTGATCCAAAGCTCATGGACACTGGTGAACCACATCCTACCAAACTAAGGCCAGTGATTCCATAGGGCCACTTACTGACAGAGTATGACCACCTTCAAGGTCTTAAAGGAAGTCATATTCTCCATGCCTTTTAGTCATTTTAAGGAAAATTTTTTTTATTATTATTTAAGCAATTATTCAGGTGCTGAGCATGTACTTTCAGCCCAGACATATCATATTTTAGTTACACACACATAACACTCTCCACCTTTAACTACATCTAGTCAGGCTGGTGAACTGAGCCCTCGCTTTCCTAGAAAGGCCACAAGGGCCAGGAAAATGTTGCTGAGCACAGCAAGACCCATTTGTTTCCAAGGGTGATCCTCCACCACCACATAACCCAAGCAAGCAAGTTTCCCATTTCTTTAGGTTAAACAGCAGTCCCCCCTCTTCCTAACAAAAGGATCCTGGGAATGATCCTGCAGCAGCTTTCAGATTCAGACATCAATCCAGAACAGCTTGGTTCATTTTCATGCCTTTTCTCTCTCAAAAAACAATAGTTTTGCCACCAAAATTCACATTCGAGTTCAGATCGCCCATCTGTGGACAGGGCAACGACGAGAAGTTTGGGGGTTTTGGCAGAATCACACATTTTTTCTTGTTCTCAAACAAAATGGACCCTCACTTAGGACCCTGGCAGAACCAGAAGCAGAGGTCAAAGGAGTTAAACTTGCCCTTTTTTTTTTTTCCTTTTTTTTTTTTTAAGTTTTATCCAAATAAACCCCACCTCTGCAGGCCAGTTTGTTTTCCAGTATCTTGATACAAACTAAAGGAGAGCACAGGCACAGCTGGGCTGTGGCACAAGAAGGTGAAACCCAAAGACCCAGCCACAAACCTGGACCATGGCAAACTGAAATCTGAGGCCCCAGCAGCAACACCAGCTGCCAGCCCAGGGGCTGCTGAAGCAAGACCCCAGGCTCCAGCAGCAACACCTGCAATCCTGGTACCTAGAAAAACAAATCCCAAGCCCCAGTAAAAGCCTGGAACCCCAGGTGAAGCCATAGGCCCCAGGGGCACCAGTTGCCAGCCCGGAGCCCAACAGAAATGAAGCTGGAGGCCCCAGGAAGCAGTAGCTGCCAGCCTGGGGCCAACTTGAATTAAGAACTTTGTACTATTTCTTTAAAAAGATGAACTCTGCAGTCCATGATTGGTTGACATTAAGAAGGCATGAGCCAAAGCAACAATGGGGAGGCGAGGCTGGTTAAAGCAATATACATTATATACAAACTCTTGGGTTAATTAGTCCACTTGGTAGGCAACGTCCTTCTTGTCTACAAGGCGCACTGGAATGAGCAGGGGAGGAGAGGGGGGCAAGATTCCATCTGATACCTTCTTGGCACTGAAGTGGTAAGGTGCCAGCGCCTCTTGATAGAAAACATGGAGAAAAAATAATCTTTAAATAACGGCACAAAACTGAGAAAGTCCTCCCAAAGCCTGCCCCAGTGGAATTGCCCGAGTCTAGCTGGAGGGGCTGATCTGTCTGAGAGCAGAGTCTCTGCATTAGCAGCACCGCTTCTTCCTTTTACTGTTCTTCGTTAGCTTCACCACATCATTCTGTTGCTGCTGTTGCTGCTTTGCTAAGTTTTCTTTCTTCGCTCGCAGAACTAGCTCTGTAATGCAATTAAACATCTGCAAGAGAAACAAGCAAATTCAGACCACCCAGGAACTCAGGCTAGCTTTTGCTGGGATACTTTTCTTGGGAAGCCACTCCACTTCTCTAGATATTTCAAGAACAGTTCAGAGATCTTCCCCAATCCACTACAGACCCAGTGGAAACCCAGTGCCTTCCCAGCCCACTCCCAAGCTAAGTCAATAACACCCCTATCCCCTTCCCAAACCAGGAAATAAAACAAGTCTGTTCAGCAGTTGAGGCCAGGAGTGGAGACTGGACAATCCTATTTCCTAGAAGCGTGCTTCCTTGTGACAAGTCCCTCCTGAGACCACGCCTCATACGTTAGCACTCTAAAGCCAGTGAAAATGAAACATGAACTCCTTCACTTGGCTCCCCCAACTCTTCCAAACACGGCTGGATGTCTCTTCTTGACATTTTACCTACTTGCAACTTGTACAAAGCATTTTATCTTTCTTCCTCAGCGGAAGGATGTAATTGTTATTTTTTTCCCAAACCATTATCCCCAAATCATTTTATCTATACTCTTCTGCATACTATATTACCTCTTCCACATTAATATTTTCTTTGGCGCTGGTCTCAAACAATTGGATCTCCATCTGCCCAGCAAATTTATAGGCATCTTCTGTTTCTACCACTTTTCGCTCTGGGTCATCATTCTTATTCCCCACTGAAAAAGGAAAGAGAAACCCAAAAGTCAGTTTGGTACTTCAGCAGGTCAGCTGATCCGATAAGATGTTGTGACTCTCCAGTTAGAAACTTACCTAGTATCCTGCAGACATCATCACAATTTTGATTTATTTCATGCAACCATCGTTTTACATTCACAAAAGATTCTGCACTTGTTACATCGTAGACAACAATGACTCCATGTGTTCCTCTGTAATACCTGTGGAGCAGGAAAAGACAGTAACTGTTAACCTAAGCTCTGTGTCACCCCCTCAGCACTTTCACTTGGCTTCTACAAGATTCATAATAAATCCACAAGTTACAGCAATCAGGTGCCCCCCATTTGCTTTCCACAGGGAATCATCTCATCCTTTTACAACAGCTAGATCACATGCTACTCCTCTAGACCTAGAGAGTTCTCTGCTCATTCTGTCTGCACACGTAGGTTTTGAAGACCAAAAGCTGCTGGTTTACCTCCTTGTTCAGGCTGTCAGGCCCTCAAAGATGAATAGTCTTCCAGCTACGTGAACAAAAGGTAGCAGTACCCCCAGTACCTTCTCAGATCCCACTGGGATGTGAACCTTCACGTTGTACAAGCCACAAAGTTTTTGCAGTCATTTTGTTATCTGTGAAAGATCACTTACAGACTAACATTTCAGCAGATCTCCAAATATACTCAACTCTCAGTCACAGTTCTCTTGAGCTCACAAAAATTTGCCTTGTTGAGGGACTTGTTCTGATCACACCTTCCTACTCAACAGATCGACTCCATATGTGCGTTCAATGCGCTCTGCTACCTTGAGCCATTAAAAATCAGCCTCAATTCAGCTTATTCCATTAGTCTTGGGGCAACCAGCACCTTTAAAAGATGACGAGCAATTCTGATAGGCAAGAAAAATATCTGAATTCAGGTTCCAAAATTATCACCTGCATGAATCTACTGAAGGGAGACAGTATGACCCCTGTGAGATATGCCATATAAAAAAATCCCCAAACTCCACCGTTTCAGATCTCAGCCACTTTCACAGGCCCACCAGGTATTTTCCCTACTGCAAACTAGGCAGCTTCAACCAGAAAATAAAAAAAAAAAAGACTGAGGTCTTTCTCAGCATCCAGTTTTTATGTTTTGTTAAGCTTCAATCTTTTCCTTTCATCTTAACCTCTTTCTCACGATCAATATTAAGATTTTTAATAAAACTAATTCAAGAATCCAACATACCAAAATTGAGGACTTTCTCTTACATGGTGACAGCATTTCTAGACCTTGACCTCTTACCACAAGCAACTCTTGCAGCACTCTCCCTCCCACTGCACTTCAGAGGTGTCCATTGTGACCACTCTGGTCCTCTTTGATAATTTACTCCAACTCAGTAAGAATACCTTTGAACTTCAAAGCCTTTTACTCTAATCCACATGCACTGCCTTTCAGAAGATCTCAAAGCTGTTGCTACTGATGTGCTTGAGCAAGTCACTATTTCTTCCCCACCTCTAGCCTCATCATCCCTTCTACAGCAGAAGCCTTTATAAGCCATCAAGACAGACTTCCACAGCCAGGCGTGCATCACATGCAGATCACACACATCTTCCCCCACTCCCTTCCTCCCATGACCACTTTGTAGTGACAGTCACTGGTATCAATACTCCTCCCTGATACAACACATACTCTGTAGAAGTAGGAGCACCCTCTCCTACTCCTCACTCAGGCACTTTCAGAAGACAGTCAAATCCTCTTCCATCCCATGTTTTACCAGTCATTTATGCTGTACATTCACTTTCCTTGGCAAGAACTAGCTCAGGTAAGAATTAGTTATTCCCAGCCTGTAAGACATCCTGCACTTTGAAATATTCTAGTCCGTTCACAATCAGTTCCTTCAATAGCTTTAAAACTTGCTACAGCACTGCATTTGTAAATTACTTCCTTAGAAGCTCAACTTTATTTCCTAACTTAGATCCTTTAGAGGAAGAAGTATTCCACAGCCTGAATCCACACGTTGCAAAACCAATCCACCCTCTCCTGATGCCAACCTGCACTGCACATCCGTTTTGACGAGTCTTGGTTTTTGTGATAGCATCAGAAAGGGAAAGAACTCCCATCCTAACAACATACTAGATTTCCCTGCATCTGAACAATACATTAATTATCTTCAAACTCTTCCATATCACCTAATAGTCTTTTAATTTAGCAGCCCACAGGCTGACCTACCACTTCCTCTGTGACACTGAGCATTCCATTTGCACAGACAACACTCAGCCCTTAGAGAAACAGAGTGGTTCAGCTACACCTACACAGAGCTGCTCCATCCTGCTCTGCACACCAGCAAACCACGCCTGGTACCCCAGTCATCCAAAGCAGAGGACCCAGTGGAGCATCCTGCTGCTCCTGCCCTGCCCACACCTCGGTTTTCCTCTGAGCAAAGCAGAAGCTGTTGGTGGGGTGGAACACCATGCACCCTGCTCATACAGATCCCCCTCCTGACGTGCCGTGGGCACAGTCGCCGTTCGCCCCCGGGGATGAGGCCCGTGGCTGGACCATGCACAGGCCACTGTGGCATTCAAAGCTCTGCAGGAGCTGGGAGCTCCTGCCACAGAGCACTAACACTGCCAACCACCTCATCACAAATACCTTCCTTTGTGCAAGACAGCAACCCCTTACTCCTGCTGAGCTCCTACCAGCATATACTACTTCTATTTTTAGAAGAGAAAATTGTCTGGCACGTTGTTCTAGAAAGGTTGCCAACCCTTCATCTACACTAAATTGTCCTTTTCTCCACTGGCTGACGTTACAGCCCAAGAGATAAGACCACAACTACCTTTTATTCTCTAACTCTTAAGCCCCATAACACACAATTTTTTTCTCAAAAAGCTAGTCATGCTATTCTATAGCATTTGTTAGGTACAGCCTTGTGTCCTAGATAACATTTTAGGCTTAACAAGTACAGCAAAGATTCTCCAACCTGAAGTGCAGGACAGTACCAGAAAACAAAATCTGATTTATCCTACCCCATACTTCAGATTTCAGAATGATGCAGTGCAGAAGTGCTTTTATAACAAGTTGTAGGCTTTGGCAAGTAGAGAACAGATGGGGCTTTTGGCATTCAGGGAGGAGTAGGTGTAAATTTTGTGCTTTTGGCAACCAAGAGGTAGTTGAGGCTTTGACACTAGGAAAAGAATGCCTTATCTTCTTCCCATCCACATTTTAGGGAAGATGGAGACTACAGAAATGAGAGCAGAAGAGAAATGAAGTTCTCAATCTCAGCCTCCCATTCAAGGGCTAAATGGCTGATGCTAGCTGACCTCTATATGGTAGGTGCACTCCACCATGTACCCCACAAACCTCAAAAGGTAGTACCTGCCACTACTCCTAGCAACAAAAACTTTCATGAAGAAAAAAAAAAAAAAAAAAAAAAGAAGTTATTCACATTTAGAGTGTCCATGAAAGTATCCTGCTAAGCCAACCAAACCTGACCTCTATAAGCCCTTCGATGTTTAGTAGTAGCCAACTACCTTTCATACGGTTGGAAAAGTTAGATCTAAAGGGATTACATTTCACTTCGTGTGGAAAAAGCTTAATATCGATAACATTTAAGTCAAAATAAAGAGAGTCGCTTGTTCTACCTCTAGAATTATATTTAAAGAACCTTAAAAACATAAGCTTACTACCTTTGAAACGTTACCTAACACTGCACACTTGATACAGAAAATCTTTACAGGTGGTTAACCAAACTCCTCACATCCTTCAGCCACCTGCATTCTCCCCTCACATCTCTGAAGACCACCCTTCTAAGCAGAAGGGAACACATTGCCATTCAACTCCCTGCTACAAGATACCAATAACAAAGTTCTCAGATTTCCACCAGTAAATGCTTCCCAAGATTAGCACTGGGGTAAGTATAACTGGTTTCACGAAGCATGTTGGTAGCCAATCAGACTTAGAAGAGACTTATTACTGCCTGCATCAGTTCCAGCAAAAAAATGTCACTGGCTAGCTTAAATGAGAAGTCCTTGGTTAAATCCAACATCTTTGGTAATATTTCACTGGTTTGTAGTGTACGTTTCCTTGTTTTTCAGTCCTCTAGAATGCGAACTAATTCCAGAGACTTCTAATAACCCATTTTCATACTCCTCTTTTTTCCAGGTTCCTTGAAGGACATCTATTGTCACAGGTCAGCTCGCTAGTCTTTGGGCCATCACATCTAGTTTACAAGGCGCAGCAATTCTATCACGTCACAAATCTTATCCCTCTCTTGAGCAGGCCATTCCACACAAACGCACGGCAGGAAGTCCCTCTGCTCCCACTACTCACCCTGAGCTAGCATCTGACAACTACTAACAGTTACACCCTACCACCACACTCCTGAATCAGGGCAAAGCAGTCATACCAACAGGAGCCCATCAAGTACAGGAACTGGCTCTCTATGCATCTGAATGGTCCTGTTAATACAGCCAAGTCCTGGCATGTCACATCTCAGGTGAACTGACACCAAATTTAGGGCTCGAATGACATTCCATGCCAACCAAATTCACACAGCTTGGCCTCTCCTCCCACAAGGCACCAGGTACCCCAGTACTTTCCACATTTCATAGACAGTGAAAGCACCTGCTGTCTGTTTTACTTCCCAGTCTGAAATTCAATCTAGATTAGTTTTCCTAAATTTCTGTAGAATTCTCCAGGTCAATTTCATTTCTGTTCCTCAGCAGTTTTATTCTGCTCTCCAGTTCCTGTAGCTGTAGTCAAGTAAAATGAAAATAGAACAACCTTTTAATGTTTCCCAATTTTCCACTGTTAACTTCCCATCACCTCTACCATTTTACAATTCTAGCTCTACATGGCAGTACTTCCAACCTATTATTACCAGATGGGCTCTAATTTCAGGCTTGCATGCCAGGCCTGGCTCAACATCAATCTAAACACTACCTTCAACTATAAAGGGACTTCCTGGCCTCCAGTAACACTGAAGAACACCTTTTTGTGTTCTTAACCTCAGTCTAGTCACAGACTAGACAAAGACTCTGCATGAGAGTGCACCTGCACTCCACCCCTGATATGGTAGCCAAGCCCTTTCCTAAGCACTAGCATGGTAACTCAATTTGTCACTCAGCTATAGATAAGCAAATCAGTTACAGGACTTCTTTGCCAATAAAAACAAACAAAAAAATTCTAAAATCCAGATCTGGTTATCTCCTGTTTCTACAGGTGATATGTTTAGGCCCAGAGCATCTCTTGAAAAATAGCAGTGAACGTTAGACAGTCACAGCTAGCTGGCCCAACAGTAAGAGGAGCCCTCATGACAACGTAACCAGCATTCCCAACGTGTTTTCCTCAACGCTTCAAATGCACAAAGCTGCACAAAATTCAAATCTTTCTTTCCTCACCATGGAAGATTCTGCAACTACTTTACCAGAGTTTAAGCAGGAAAACTGGGGGCTTTGCTTTCCTCAGAGTAAAACATACCTCACTTTGGTAAGAAACTATGGAGAGGGAAGCAGTAGCAGAGTTCAAATAGATCATGGCAGAAATGCCCTTGAACCATTCCAGCTTATCTATTTTAAATGTTAATCAAAGGAAAAAAAAGACAACACACTACACAAAGTGCAATCCGAGCTGTTCCCTCTGAGAAAAGGAAGCCTCCTTCCCTGGTACTCCCCGCCGGACACCACGGCTTTCTGAGCTGGCTGGCATCAGCCCCACGACCCAACGCTCATTAACGCAGCTCCGAGTGGTGTCAGGGAATCTGAAAACAGGAAGGCCATTTGCTGACTCAGCACAAAGCGGGGCACTCGGCAACTGGCCTGCGAGCACAGCTGATGGGAGCTGCAGCCCTGCACTGCTGCCTCCCCCTCACCGCTTCCTGCCGACCCGAAACAAGAAGTGATGTCACACACAGGAACCCTACAAGAGACAACCCAGGTTTTTTTCAAGCTAAACACTTAAGGAACAATGGAAGTACTCCAGTAATATCCGTACAGAAGCGCGGAGGAAAGGGGCGGAGCACTCAGCAGGCTCAACTTTGGCATTTCTAGCTGTTTAGACACAACACAGATGTAACTGATCTTGTTATTTTTATGTCTGAGTAAGTTAAGCAGTACCTCAGCTGAAAACAATTCTCCTCCCAAACAGGGCCCAAAAGAGAAGTCAGTCATGACAGACCAAATGAAACACCTAGGTCTTACAAGAATTATGTTTTGTTAATACCCAAAGGAAACACAAGTTCCGTTTCCAAGTGTCTTTTTGCCTCTTCCCCTAGTGGCACGGTGAGCAGTGCCACCTTTGCTGCAACCAGTTTACAAACACATTTTATCCTCAGTTCCCAGCGCTGCAGCTCTGGGTGTGGTTTCTCCAGGAACAGGAAAAGCTGTGCACACGCCGTTCGAAAGGACAATGAGCACGGGACCGAACTCAAACCAAGGAAAAGGTTAACTTCACATGGGCAGCTGCTTCAGCAGAACCCCGCACCAAGATAGCTGCTCATACCCACTTGTTCTGACAGAAAACTAACTATCGGAAATCCTACTCTTTGATTTCAAAGCTATTCATCAGTTACACGATGCTGACAGAGGGTTTGCACTCTGCACTGCTGCAACACGTTCAGAGGATGACCTTCTCAGACAGGCTTCAGAGACAGGTTTTCTCCTATATGCAGATCAGTGAAAAAACTCCCATTTTACCATTTGGAAACCAGCAGCAGAGGAATAAGACCTTCATGGAAAAGCACAGAAGAGTTGAGTAATCTGAAATCCCAGTCTCCAACGTAGCCACAACATCACTACTGCTGATTTTGGTTCTAAAACAGCTGAAATAAGTCCCACTGTAAGTGCCACAAAGCCATCGTTAGTTAATCCACTGCAACATTAACACACCTAAGCCATAACTCTAATCTACAAGGCCCATGGCCAAAGCTGCAGCTCACAGAGCCCAGCTGTACTCACGTTGAGGTGATGGTCCGGAAGCGCTCCTGGCCGGCTGTGTCCCAGATCTGCAGCTTCACCTTCTCTCCATTGATCTCCACTGTCCGGATTTTGAAATCCACTCCAATTGTGGTGATGTAGCTGCCTGAAGGGAAAGCATGGATAAATGAGAACCTAAGTCTTGTTTATCCTGGATGTCCCAAAGCACACTCGCAGACAGCAGCTCTCAGACTGGACAGGAGCACAATGTTCCCCCAATATGCTTATCATTTAAAATACTGATTTCATGCTGATCTGCATATTTTTATCTGCAGCTAATTGCTTCTTTTCCTAGACATAAAGCCACATTTCCCACACCACTCTTAAAATTTAAAAGTCAATCTTACAAAATAAAATTACTCTTCTACCACATTGGTGGTCAAGAGTACACACTCAAATATCTCAAGAAATGAACAGTAACTGTGCAAGCACTTCACATGGGAAAATCTTGAGACAACGCTTTGCTCAAAATGCTTCTGCAATCACTTCATTTGAACACACTCTAAGAGTTTCCTCCCAATACATTTGTTACATCACAAATTGAGTGGTTTAGCCACAAGATTCAATCAATCTAAATACCAAATGGCCAGTGGGAAGTCTGCACAGAGCATAAGCTAAAAAACCCAAGCTATTTCTGGAACCATGTTACTGTTTAAATACTGTGGGACTTTCAGCTGCAAGTGAAGATCAGACAGGATGGTTTGTACAGGCTCATGCCAAGAGAAGCAGTGGCAGAAGCATCATGCGTTCCTAGCACAGCTCTCTGTGGGTGAATGCAGAAGAACAGCTCCTTGCCAACCAGCAGCACTGGAGCAGACCTTGACCGTTTCACTTGTTGAAGTAAACAAAACACTCACCTGAGAATGTATTATCTGCAAAACGCAACAGCAAACTGCTCTTGCCCACACCTATGACAAACAAAGACAGCAAGATCTTTGAATGCAGTCATCCCAGGTACAAAGTAAGATAACAGTATTTTAACCATCCACAGCATTTTTAGCTTCAGGATATTTTCTCAGCAGATAACTTAGTACCATCCATCTTGACTGTCCACCTCAGTACTCTCCCTGCAGAGCTGATCAAGCACACTGCAGTCACTCCAAGATTCAACATGCTTCCTGTAGCAGTACAGGGTTGAGGATTTTGTCCCCTCCTTCCTCCTTGCCCTCAGCAAACTCTCCAACAGTAGCTTCTGAACTGTGGTCAGTTCTGAGAGGTCATAAAAGAGTGATAACTGAAAGCAAGTTTACAGGCTTGCATTTGCTAAGGAAAGATCCAGAAATAAGCACATACTGCCAATTAACAAGTACTCAGAACAGTGCTCTAAACTGCTCTGCTGAATCCCACTTGCACATCACGCTTAACACCACTGCCATTCATCACTCCGTGCTGCACAGCAGTGGAATTTGGACTACTTTGACAATCAGACTGGGGTTTGGTGCTATAAAGCTTATGTTATCATGGCCACAGTTTAACAGAAGCCCAAACCAAACAGAGGAGCCAGGGCCATTGTTCTGTACTGCCATCCAAAATAGGCTTGTTCCACTTCCAGCAGGAAGGACACAGACCTTTCTCAAGTTGTACCTTTTGCCAAAATGCTCCATGAAACATTCCTCCAAGTGCTTTGAGCAGCACTTCATCCAGGTATTCCTTAAATGATTTTTTGCACCCTGATCATGCCCTGTTGCAGGGAAGCATTTTTCACAGTGCTTCAGACAAAAAAAAAACATAAGAAACTCATTCCTGCACACCCAACCAAGGGAATCTGGGCATCAGAATGCCTCAAACTTGCTACCTCTGCATAACTCTGCTGTTAATGGCCCTTCCTCTCCCTTCCTGCTACAGCATGAAGAGGAAATTCAACTTCACCAGGTAATAATCTATTAAATGCTTTCAGGTAGAAGTTATTTAAACTAATTGTTTTGAAGATGTACTACCTGCAAGTTCTTCAGAATAGAAGACCTGTGCAAAAGGCATGTACAAAGACTATACAGAACTCCATAGTTCTCAGCTGCTGGCATCTGAAGATAGGTACCAGTGCAAAAAAAGCCCAAACACAACTTAAAAATCTGCATGATTCCAGTCAGCCAGACCTCATTTGCAAAGAGTTCAAGTCACCAGATGTATGGAAAGGCCATGTTCATTTCTCATTGAGCATTACAGATCCTTAAAAAAAAAAAAAAAAAAAAAACAGAAAAAAAAACTAGCCCAAAATAAAAAGGAAGAATGCTGCTAAAAATTACAAAGTTACAGCTTGCATAGGCTGAATACCTCTGAGCTCAGAAAATGTAGCAGAGCCATCCCTGAATGTTAATCAGAGGACTGGTTATTTAGTAGGAGCTAAACCTCTGCAAAACACCAGTCAGCTAAGGAAATAGAATTTAGAAAATAATTTCTTCTTTAAAAAAAGGTTTCAGCAAGTACTATTCTTCTTGATCAACAGCCTCGGCCTCCAGCTTAATAAAAAGAGAGTGGATGCTGGAATGCACAGGCTTGTCAGACCACACCACCTTCTGAGCACGCCAGCCAGCCCCGGGCCACGCTGCAGAGCTGCACATGACCACGCTCTGTCAGACTGTCCACCGCTGCACAGGTCGTCTCCAAAATCCTCACAGCACGCGGGCAGCTTCCAGGGAACAGAAACCTCTTGAACTTGGGAAGTTCTACACGCTCCCGATGACAACGATCTCACTAAATAAACCCTGCCTCTGACCCACAGTGCGCACGTACAGAGAAACCCCACTCTTTGCGACCCTCCACTTCCTACACAGTTATTTGGAGAGCTGGAAGGAGAAGGTTTGCAGGGCCTCTCTGCCTGTTGAAGACAGCAAAATGAAAAAAAAAAACCAAAAACAAAAAAAACAAAGTCCATTGGCTTTGCAAAATCAAAATCAAAAGTAAATTTCTGTACTGCACCAGTTTCTAAACGCCGTATCTTACTGAATGGTGGAGTGAAGGAAAGGAGCACACGCAAAGCACAGATCATCTGTATTATTTTTAAATATTTGGCACAACTGAGATCATCAGCAGCTTTTCAAGATGACCTGTTCTAAAAACACACAAACCTACTACCCTCTTGGCATATTTGCATACAGGGGAAAACAGAAGAGACATAATCATCTTATCCAGTATCAGGCCACTTCCTACTGCACAGAATAAATGCCAATAAAGAAGGCAAGCAAACTGTTTTGTGGAAGCAGGAACAAAGCCTTCCGGTTGGGGTTAGCAAAAACAAAAACAAAGAAGAAAAATCAATACTCAAACTACATCGTGAGATTTAATTAAAACAAGAGAGAACCACAGGCAACCTGACAAGTCTCACAACGCTTTTTTCCTCTCACTGGACACAGTACAGGGACTCAGCTAAGAAATTTCATTTAATTGTTCAAAACTAGGAGAAGCCTTTCTCAGGGTTGTCACCATCCTGTTTATCTTGCTGGAACAGTTTTGAAACTCATCAGCAAGCAACAGAGCTACTGCTTTACTCAGAATGCAGTATGCTTTTAATATCCATAGGCTCCCCAAAAGTGCCTAGGGTTTTAAGCTGTTCTGAAGCTGTTGCTCTTTCTCCCTCCTTAGATCCCTTCGTGCAGACAGAGTTTAGTACAGAATAAAATAGTTTTACATACAGCTAAAGCTTCTGGAGGTGACAACTGCCAAGATCCTGCAACACTACACTTCCACTGAAGAGCCATGCCTCGCTGCATGCCGGGACCTGCAGCCTTATGGACCACACCTCTATTAAAAGAAGAGGGTGGATGCCATCTTCTCCAGTTTATGGAAATTAAACTGTAAGCTGTTGGAGCGTTACCAACACTGAACTGGACTGAAAGCAGGAATCTTCTCAGTCCCAATTCTTATATATTTAGACTAAAGCACCAGATGCAGGCGGAGTTCCCACGCCAGCCCTCCAGAAGTTTCTGAAACTGCTGCAGGAGTATTTACAGGTCTGTTGAAAAAAAAAAATGTAACTAACCCTTATCCATTACTATTTTAGGTCTCTGCATCCTACGCTGTGACTAAAAGTACACAAAGCTACCAGCTCTTCAAGGATTTGCTAAAAAGAAAGTGACAAACTCTAGAACTGAGACTTCAGTTTGGAGCACGCAAAGCGTCCTAAGGAATAACTAAGATAATAAGGAGTATTAAGACGTAGTAGTTGCCACACGGGAAACAATGGTCCCCTAGGGCTAAGAAGCAAGCCGCCCTTCCCACCGATGCCTTAAACTGCCTGTGACAGGGGAAGGGAATCCCCTCCTCATCCCAGCAAGGGATTAGTGGGCGCCCTGGGAAGAGGCGGCTGGCGGCGGCTGATGCCGTCAGGAACGCCGATGCGGTCCGTGCCTCACCTTCCTTCTCCAAAAACGAGCCAAGCCCCTTCCCACCACATCCTGCGGGAGCCAGTTCCGCAGGTCCACCAGGCGGGACTCGGGAAGCCCGCGGGAACGCGCCCTCTCACGCACTCGGGTGGGGGTCCCCGCCGCCCGCCCGGGCAGAGCCGGCCGC